TTATTAACATTTTTAACATTAGTATAGATTTGAGGCTTTTACAATCTTCAATAATATTAGTACTTAAAACAATTTCATAAGCTAATGAATGCAAATATTTTTATTCAAGAGAGATAGAACCCACGACTATGAGTGTACTAAAACCACTAGACCACAGAGTGTAACAAACAACAATCTATAATAGTCCTCACCAGTTTTCAATGTCAAATCCAAATGGACACTTGATCAAACAAAACCACAATGCTTACGTTTCAGTAAACAATAAAAGTTATAACACTAAAGATACAAACTTACTATTATTATACGATTTTTACATATAAAAATGACCAGGTCTTCTGCACCCCCAAGAGGAATGAAGTTTGGGGCCTCGGGGACCCGGCATCAACTCCGGGGGCAACAACGTCTGCGTAAAATCTAATTAGGGATTAAAATATATATACATACTAGCTTTTGCCCGCGGCTTCGCTCGCGTTAATTTATCCCCTTAGGGGTGGATTTTATCAAAATCCTTTCTTAGGGGATGCCTAAGTCATAGTAGTTTTATGCATGCAAAGTCACAGCCCGATTGCCCGAAATTGACAAAGTTTCATCCCCTATTTTATCCCCTTGGGGGTAGAATTAATCAAAATCGTTTCTTAGCGGATGCCTAAGTCATAACATCTGCCTGCATGCCAAATTTCAGCCCGATCCGTCCAGTGGTTTGGGCTGTGCGTTGATAGATCACTACGTCAGTCACCTTTGAGTTATATATATTTAGATTTACATTAACTTATCCTAACTTGGAGGATAAGTTAACTTGAAGGGGTAGTGCCATACGTGGTTCTTTTTTGGTTATTTTTTTTTAAGTTTTTTTTATTAATATTGACATTAAAATTTTACAGATTAGTATAGTGTAGATGCTGGATATTAGTCTATAAGTCATCTTGCTCACATTTCCGCAACTGTGAATATTCTCTTTACTATAAATTTTGTTTAATTCCGCTAGCAGTAGCATGTGTGAGACCAGAAATATTCAGTGCGGAAAACTGACCTCCGCTACTGGAAGCGTTACGTTTACGTTATTGGTGATCAAATTCCTACTTTTATTGAATATAACTAGACCTATCCTGTCTCAAATTCCGATTGTGATTGAATCTATACCTAGATTACGACAAAGCTCAATCCATGTGACTTCCTATTTGGCATAATAGTGGTACGGTACAATTATTTATGAAAATTCTGTTGATTTGTCAACACGAGTCATTTAAAGTTCCTTGAGCAGCGTCAGCTAGTACCATATATAAAAAACTCGCTAATTATCCCGGCTGTAGTATGTAGAATAGAATAGAATAGAATAGAAAATCATTTATTCAAATAAACTTACATTGAAGCACTTTTGAATAGTCATAACATTTTTTTTTTAATCTACCGCTCATTCGGAATGCTGTCTCATCACAAGAAGAACAAGCAAGAAACTTGTGTGTTGCTCTTTTAAATAATTTATTCTTACATACAATTTAAGTTTAAGTGTGTGAATACAAACCACCGATTAGCACTAATTCAATTAAATACTCAAAAAGAAAAAAATATTGAATACATAACCAACTGGTTAAACAATTAATAAGAGGAAATCAGTCATAGTGATTAGAGCAGACCAGTCCCTACAAGCAGCACCCGTTCACGAGTATGACGGATGAGCCAGCCATCACTGCGCTCGACCATATTTTAGGGAGCCCAATGACCCGGCCCACCACGCCGCCACAAGTCTGGACATTTTAGTGAGCATGACTACTCAAAACACCAGACCACGTCATAGCTACTCACAATTGCCATCTGATGTTTATAGTATTCACATTTCACATAAGAATGCATGCGGCAATTAATACAAAACCCGCTACGCTTTCATATTTCTAAAATAATTGAATCAAGAAAGCAATGAGATAAACAAATTATAACGTTGTATGCTAATAAACTAATTATTTACTTGATATGTTGTCTTCTATGAATTCGTCTATCCTGTAATAGGCTTTCTTACATAAAAATTGTTTAATATAAGATTTGAATTGCCTCTCTGTCAGATTTAGTGCAGATTCTGGCAGTTTATTATAAAATCTTACGCAATTACCATAGAATGAATTACTGACTTTGTGCAGGCGGCATTTAGGTAAAATTAGCTTATTTTTATTGCGTAAGTTTCTATTTGTACAGTCTTTAAGTTTTCTAAAACTGTCTAAATTCTTCCGTGTATACATGATATTCTCATAAATGTATTGTGAAGTAACGGTGAGGATATTTAAATCTCTAAAACACTGACGTAATGACTCTCTTGAACCCATACCATAAATAGAACGCATGGCTCTCTTTTGTAAAATAAATATAGTATTTATATCGGCTGCTTTACCCCACAGTAGTATACCATATGACATAATGCTATGGAAATAACTAAAGTATACAAGTTTAGCCGTCGCCACGTCTGTTAATTGCCTAATTCTTCTAATTGCATATGCAGCTGAACTGAGTCTATTGGCCAATTTTGAAATATGGGGCCCCCATTGTAATTTCGAGTCCACTGTTATACCTAAAAAAACTGTATCATTAACAAAATTTACTATTTCGTCATTAAGCAATAACTGTGTATTTATTGGTCTTACATTAGGAAGTGTAAATTTTATACACTTTGTTTTGCTGGAATTTAATAATAGGTTATTACATGTAAACCAATTTAATATAGCAGACATAGCACAATTTACATCGTCTAATTGATTAGTTTGACGTCCAATTTTAAACACTAACGAAGTATCATCCGCAAACAGCACTATATCTGCAATTTTCTCTACCATAAAGGGAAGGTCATTTATGTAAATTAAAAAGAGAAAGGGGCCTAAGATTGACCCTTGTGGAACGCCGTCCCAATATTAGCTCCCTTAGATTTTATACCGTCAATATCTACAGTTTGGACCCTATCCTCTAAATAAGTTCTCATTAATTTTAGATCATTATCTTTTATACCATAATGTTCGAGCTTGTACAAAAGTGTTTTATGATCCACGCAATCAAATGCCTTTGATAGGTCACAAAAAACTCCGAGTGCATCCTGTGACTTCTCCCATGATTGGAAAATATGTGTTATCAGCGCTACACCTGCGTCAGTGGTAGACTTGCCGGCGGTGAAACCATATTGTTGACTGTGAAGCAGTCGGTTATCCCTGAAGCGTTGTAACATTTGATTTAACATTATCTTTTCAAACACCTTACTTAGAACTGGCAAAATAGATATAGGTCTATAGTTCCAGTTAGTAGATGTAAACCTTCCTCTTGAATCTCTCTATCTATTGCTGAAAACTGCATTAAAATCCGTTGCGTAGTTTAAAAGATCTAAGCGAACAGATAGCAGAAGCGACTTTATACTATGTACGTATGTATATAAGCAATACATACATACAAATTTGCTGACTACATAATTACATATTATAAAACAAAGTCGCCGTCGCTGTCTGTCCTTGTGTTCCTATATATGTTTAAATCTTTAAATTACGCAACGGATTTTGAAGCGGTTTTTTTTAGTGATTTAAGAGGAAGGTTTATATATAATACATGTGCACCCGTGCGAAGCCAGGACGAGTAGCTAGTATTTTATAAATAAGGAAAATTGCCTTCTCACAGGTAACGCAATCCATTTTTCCTTAACGTTACCACAAATAAGGTAACGTCATAGTTAAAAATAAATTAATATTATTAATAATAAAATTAATAACACACACACTCACACACACACACTCACACACACATACACACACTGCACACACATACATACACACACTGCACTTACTTGGTTTCGGCCTGTAAGTGTGGAGAAAACCAGCAAAAGCTGACAGTGTGAGATCATAGTGAGGAAATTAATAATAATATAAGTGTATTTACAAATATTGTTGACTTTAGCATACAAATTCCGTTTGTTTTACCTCCAAACATTGTTATTACGGTATAATTAAATTATTTAATAACTTATTTCAGTGAATTACTTTACTGCCTCGTTAAAATCGTCACTTTACGTCATTTAGCAATGTCGACTACAGTAGTTAAAGATTTTAGAAAATAATAATTTAATAATTGTTTTATATTTAAAAATATTTCTTATTTTTTAAAAATCAAATTTTATTGTTAGCAAATATGCAAATATGCAAATTTTGTTTAGTTAAAAATATTTTATTATTTTTTTGGGTAAAAACCGTTTTCAATAATTGAAATGTCTGTCTGTGTTTGCTATATAATTTTGTATAATTATAGATGAAACTATATATTATGTACCTTTATAAGTTTATATACCATATCTTGGTTTACTATATTATAAATACGAAAATAAAAAAAATATTTTGTAATAGAATAATTTTATTCATTTCAGTTTTACACTGCTGATCATTGAATGAAGACTTTGTTTTTTAATTCACATATATATTTTATATCATAAAAAGACAAATGAGCTTGGGACTCACCTGATGGTAAGTGATTAGGGATATATTTATGTTTATATTTATATATATTTTTTAAACTTCTCATTTATATATAATTTCTCATTTATATTAGTGCACCGCCAATAATCTTTCTCTGCACCACTTATGGTTGCCTGGTAGATAACGCCGCTAGGTATTCAGTCCGCCATATGTACACAGTGTTTTTGTGCATTAAAGTTAAATGAATAAATAAAATAAAATAAATTACCGCCTCCCATAAGCACCCACAACACTACGGACATTACAATTGTGTTCCCAACCTTATAAGAAGGAATACGCTGTTTTTTTTAAAGTTTCAATATCGGTTTGCAAATATTATTATGGGAAGCGCCTGGCAAAACTAGTACTTGTAGCAAGGTTAAGAAGGGTACAGAGTGTACGACTAAAGTAGAAGAATCGTTAACTAGTTTTACATGTCCTAAGTCAATAGTTTACGTGGTCATCCAATGACAGCATCATTTAGTTTATACGTCCTCATAAATTCATTTACATCTAAACAATGGTCGTGAACTAGGCAACAAAATGCGGACAATTATCATTATGTTTATTGTATTTATACTGTGTAGTGCTAAGGATTTCAATGACAAACTGGGTGAGTGCGTCCACTCTTATATAATTTAACAAATATATGTATATCTTATTAATATTATAAACGTGAAAGTTTGTGAGTATGGATTGATGTTTGTTACTCTTTCACGCAAAAACTACTGAACGGATTTTGATGAAACTTTACAGTAATATAGCTTATACATCAGACATATAGGCTATAAATATCACGTGAGTGAAACCGCGGGCACAACTAGTAATATATAGTACTAGCTAACCGTGCAAACATTGTTTTTACATATCAATTAAAATCGCTATTAAAAATAGAGGTTGATGGTAGAAGAGTAAAAATGTAGGGTATACAACCCTATTTTGTATTTTTTAATGCCACATTATCATAAAAAGTTTGTCTAAAAAAAAAAAATTCAATGTAATAAGGGGTGGACAACCCTTATCACTGGGGGGAGGGGATTGTTAATAATGTGGACTCATGACCCCATTACTAGCAATGTACCATGTCAGGTGGACCTCCACGCGGTTCCCCCTGGAAACCATCGTGATAAATTCCTGATGAATTTGTCACAATGGGCTAACAGACCTGACCTCATGCTCATCTTATCATCCTCCACTGGTACCCCACCAGCGTAAACCGTTAGCGCAGGTGGGTGCACCATTCCATTATCATCCATAAAAAAAAAAAAACACTTATCACTTGGGGGTATGAAAAATAGATAGTAGCTGATTCTCAGATCTACTGAATATGGATATAAAATTTCTTAAAATCGGTCAACTCGTTTCGGAGGAGTATGGTAACTAACATTGTGACACGAGAATTTTATATAAAAGAAATGGTTGAGCGCATGCTCGTGAACAGATGCTTGTAGAGATTGGTCTGCTCTTATACCTATGATTGATTTATTTTGTTACTCAACTATAAATTTACTTATATCTACTTTGCTATTTAGCAATGTATCGTGTCAAGTTATATTATTCACCGGATCTTAACACGAATAATTTTATGGCAAATAAAGGTTTGTTACCTCTCTCGACGTTCTGCCTAGTTTCCACTAGCCGTGGCCACGTGCTGAGCCCAGCTCGTGACCATGGCTATTCGTGTTAAGATCCGGTTAAATAATACAAATAATAAATATATGTTCATCGTCCGTATGTCATTGGTCAAGTTGTTGAGTCAAAAATGATGAAGTGTTAATTCATCTCCAAAGTTCGAATTTGCCGCCATCTTGGCCCCGTGTTACCCCCCCCCCCTCCTAGATCGAAGGCTGCAGAAGGGTGCCAGTGTTTGCATATTTTATACGCGAATTTCTCGAAACATTATTACCTAGTTACGTGTCTAAAGATTTCCCACTTCGTTCAATCTCTGAACAATTTGATACTTACAATCAGCGTTACTTATCCTTTTTCAGTCCACAGACCCTTAGAAATTCAAGGACAGTTTCAAGGATCCTTTAAAAAACAAAGGAATAAATTTCGGACAATACATTTTAGCGCAGTTAAAAAAAATACTAAAGGTAATAAGTAAAGTATTTTGCCAAGCTGAGGAGGAAACTCCACTAGACAGCCTATGTGATTATAGCCTCATATATAAACGAAATATCTCCTTTGGAAAGTATACACTCTATCCTGAGGAGATAAAACCCATCGCTCCTAAGAATATCCTTCAATTGTTGTCCCTGACGGGTCTAGGTAGCGAACTCTGATATGTATAGATATGAAACTGCCTGGTCTGTTGGATACATTTACGATCAATTATTGATAATTGACCGTATAAAACCTATCTAAGAAAGACTGACATATTGGTGTTCGTTTATACGATTTACCTCCAAAACTCAAATAAATCTCTGTTTTTCTGTTATACGATCTAGCTCCACTCTATTATAAAAACCATCCCTTAAAAATATACGATACATTTTAGTAATAATGTGTTTTTACCTTTTGAAAGTTTATAATAATAATAATAATCTCAGGACAATTCACACAGCGCCATCTAGTCCCAAGTTAGCTAAAGGTTGTTTATAGGTACTAGATTGATACAAATACATAAATATTTTTTTCGTAAATAGCCGCGGTGAGTAGCTAGTTATCATTACACAGTATAAAACAAAGTCTCTGTCGCTGTCTGTACGTCCTTATATATGCTTAAATCTTTAAAATTGGGCAACGTATTTTGAAGTTTAATAGATAGAGTGATTCGAGAGGAAGGTTTATATATATAATACATGTATACACGTGCGAAGCCGGGGCGAGTCGCTAGTTATCACTACATAGTTTAAAATAAAGTCTCTGTCGCTGTCTGTCCGTCGTTATATATGCTTAAATCTTTAAAACTAGGCAACGGATTTTGTAGCGGTTTTTAATAGATAGAGTGATTCTAAAGTTTATGTATATAATACTTGTATACCCGTGCGAAGCCGGGGCGAGTTATAATACACAAGACAATCGATAAACGATAATATAAACAGGGTCTATCACACACGAGATCGCGCCTTTTTTACGCTACTGTTTCACTAGAAAATGGAGTAAGAATACGTACGATGCCGCATAAAAGATTGATAATCCAGATATGTAAGACAATAACCAAATAAACGCCCGTTCCGATGAAATGAATCCTATCTTTTTTCCAGTAGGTACTCAACAATTCGCAAGCGTAGGGTTGCCAGCTACCCATCTTTTTTGTTATTATTTACTAGCTGTACCCTCGGTTTTACCCGTATGAAATTTATTTATTTATGTCACACTAAGTCAGCTTTACAGTTTCCCAATATGCCTACTTAGGAAGATTGTATATATATACACACACTTATAAAACAATAGTTACTAATACATACACTAATTACACATGAAAAAAAAAATAAACTACTACCTCCGAGTGTCGAACGCCTGACGGAGCTATTAAATATTGTAAACGATTATAGCAGCTCTGTTAGGATAGCACTCGGAATAGACAAGTTCTCCATGTGCAGAGCATTCTCTATGTCCCTTCAATATCAAAACCCTCTCCGAGGCTGAAACATACCGGTATCTGGGCATGTCACAAAACATCGGTGTGAGGGAGACGGATATAAAACAGTCAGTCCGTGAGGATTTTTTTGCGCCCCTTACAAGAGTACTGAAGAAGTTCCTTGTCGGGTGCCAATAAGATCCGAGCATATAACGGCTGGGTCATACCCGTACTCCTTTACACTTTTGGCGTGCTCAGATGGTCTCAAACCGAACTCGAAGGCTTCGATCGGAAAGTCCGCACAACTATGACCCTCCATAGAATGCATCACCCGAAATCGTCAGTCATGAGGCTGTACATCCCGCGAAAGGCTGGTGGTCGAGGCTTGTTAAGCGTTAGACCATGCACAACCGCGAGATTGACAGCCCCAGGACATATTTTCTGGAGAAAAGAGACGAGGGTTTGCATAGAGAGGTCATAGAATGTGACAAAGGATTCACCCCTCTTTCTCTGGCTAAAGAGGACTGGTGAAAACCCGAAGTCCTGGGTACCTCTCAGCGGGAGGCTGTATGGAAAGAGAAGGAGTTGCACGGAAGGTTCTTCAAAGCCCTTCACGGCCGTACGTCAACAAGAAGACCTCCGTGCACTGGCTACAGTTCGGTAATCTCTTCGGAGAGACCGAGGGTTTTGTCTGTGCAATACAGGATCAGGTGGTAAAGACGAACAATTACCGAAAGCACATTCTAAAGGATGGCACTGAGGACATCTGTCGGGCTTGTCATCATACCGGAGAGTCACTCAGACAGGTCCTGTCGGGTTGTTCAGCTCTTGCCAACACTAAGTACTTGCACAGACACAACCAGGTAGCCAAAATACTCCATCAAGAACTACCTCTGAAGTGGCCGTACTCATAGCTCATGAGAGGTTGCCGTACTATAAGTACGAGCCCCAGCCAGTCCTCGAAAGCGACAGCGTCAAGCTCTACTGGGACCGATCCGTCATCACGGACAGGACCGTTCTTGCGAACAATCCTGATATCGTGGTGATGGATCGGGCACTCTCGAGGGGTGTTTTTGGTAGACATCACCATACCGCATGACGAAAACCTCGTGAAAGCCGAAACTAAAAAAAAGAGAAAATATCTCGACCTGGTTCACGAGGTGACCGAAATGTCCACCGAAATCATTCCAATCGTTATGTCGGTGAACCGTCTTATCCCAACCAGTCTGGAACAACATCTCAGACGGTTGGGATTCCGAGGCGGCTCACTCCCGGAAAGATGCAGAAAGCGGTGCTCTTAGATTCATATCATAAGAGCCTGTGAGAGACTATACATGACTGAAGATTTTTTCATTTGGTTAAATTGATTATAAGAAAGGCGCTTATGCCAAATTGTTTGCCATTGTATTTATTTAAAAAAAAATCCTAAGTCTGGCAACCCTGACTCGAGTTTGCAGTTATCAAAAATTCCCCAGCAATAAATATTTATGAGTGCGAACCGCCCGAGCCTACTTGATATTTTAACTGGCTTTGTGCTTACCTTTAACAAGTACGTACTGTATTTTGTATTGTATTACTATTAATGTACACCTCTATCCTGAGGAGATGAAAACCATCGCTCACCAGATTAACATGGCTAAAATTTCCTGTGGTATCAAGAACTACCGATCTGCAAACTTGAAATTTTTGAAGTCAGACGAAATATCTCCTTTTGCATAGTGTACACATTAGATATAAAAACCATCGCTCCTAAGAATATCCTTCAATTCTTGTCCCTCAAGATCTAGACAGCGAGCTTTGAAAAAGGGCGAGCACAATAGATCTATGCAGGTCGCAGTGTATCAGGTTAGCACCTGACAATAGCCCAAAACCCTAATAAAAAAAGTATTTATACACATGTTTCATCATTCTTGAGGCAAACTCATAGTATCGTAGTTTCCACCAAATCGGCCACATTGTCTAATTTTTAATATTGCAAAGGGATTGAAATAAATCAAACACAAAATTTTAAGTAAAGAATACCAGAATACATTTGTGATAACCACATCGATATCGTTTAATCCATTTTTGAGATAATCACAGGAAATCAAGCAAGGGCTCTAAAATTTTTAATTTTGTGTCTTTGTCTTTATGTCTGAGTAGCACCAATTCACAAGTCATATGAGATATTACTTCCGATGGTCGCGGGTTCTATTCCTCCCACAGTTGCACCGTTTGTTTTGTTGAGCATTGTTTGTATCGGTCTGGGTGTATTCCATAGTATGATTTTATGTACAAAAAAAAAGTTAATTTCTATCAGTTACCATCTAGTACCCATAACACCAGCTCTGCTTACTATGAGTCTAGATGGCGCTGTGTTAATTGTCCAGAGTTATTTATTTATTATCTATCTATGTATCTTATCTAATATTAATTGTCCGCAGACCGTTACCTCATCGCTTGCCATACGACAGACTTTGTTTGCTTCAAGCGACAGTACAAAGCTCTGAGAGACAACGTGCTATTAGGCAATTACTTATTGAACATAGATTATTATGAACCTTACTACTTCAAATATGGAAACAGCGGCACCTGCATCAAGTTATCAGGCCTTGAGGAGAGCGAACTTGTTGGGATAAGGTGAGGCACTATCAAATACTTTAAAGCTATTAATACTTATTATAATCTTAATAATATTATAATCGCGAAATTTTATTAGTACGGTTGTTTGTTACTCTTTCACACAAAATCTACTGAACCGATCATCATGAAATTTTGTACAATTGTACATCATGAAAAAAAAACAAGTACTAAATCGCTAGACCACCGAGGCCGTCGATATTTTAATACTAGCTGTTACTCGAGACTTTGTCCGCGTCGAATTTAACTTTTTTTTTGTTTAATAAGTAAAATTTTTAAATTATGCTAATGTACATTAGCTATCTGCGAGGAAAAATCCCGTCAAAATCGGTCCAAACATTTTAGAGATTAGCAAGAACAGACAGACAAACAAAAACTTTTAAATCTAATTGTTTGATGCAGTCTACAAAACAAACCAAATCAGTTTCTAAACTACTCAACTCCGATTTACGAAACACAAAGAAAAAACAACCTTATAACGACACTTTTAAAGTTAATTAAAAAACCGCTAAAAGTTAAGCTTTAAACTTTAAAATTTCAGCATGGACGGTGCGGTTGGCCAATTTAGTTTGACATTAGAGCTGCCTCTGAGGGTACAACAGGTGTTAAACGACACCGCGGTATGCGCTGAACCCGACCGGGGTGAGTATCGACCGCGTGCAACAAGTGCAGTGTTTTAAGATTTTTATGTAACTAACTTACAAAAAACTTGACGTCCATAAGAGTGTTTTAAGATTTATTTGTTACAAATAATTATTAATACAAAAATCTTGACGTTTATAAGCCAGTAAAATAAATAATAATAATCTCAGGACAATTCACACAACGCCCTCTAGATCCATTGTAAGGTAGCTAAAACTTGTGTTAAGGGTACTAGACAACTGATACAAATATCAACAAAAACACCCAGACCGATACATACACTCATACTCATGAATACAAATGTTTGTGCCTTCCGAGGATCGAACTCGCGACCATCGGAAGTAAGGCAGCGTGTTACACCGCTAGACCACCGAGGTCGTGATGGTGAGGTGTTTTCTATGTATAATATGTATGTATTTACGAAAAATATATATATCTATGTATTTGTGTCGGTTATGTAGTACCCATAACACAAGCTTTAGCTAGCTTAACTTGGGTCTAGATGGCACTGTGTGAATTGTCCTGAGATTATTATTATTATTAATACAAAAAACTTAACGTTCATATGCATATCTGCTGCGGCTGCGTAGTTTTAAAGATTTAAGCATACATAGGGACATAGGGACGGACAGATAGCGACAGCGACTTTGTTTTATACTATGTAAAGATACAATAATGTCATAGTATAGAACACGCAGAGAAATACAAAGATTTTAAGAGGTACGGGTCACTAGTTTTGTATAAAAAACAAACTTTATTTTTCCAATTTGTCCTTTCTGTTATGAAAGTGCTTCAGTTTCGTGAATATTCTGACTGGGTTTCAGTCAGGTATACCCCTTACAACTTCATTACATAGTATAAAATAAAGTCGCTGTCGCTGCCTGTCCGTCCATATGTATGCTTAAATCTTTAAAACTACGCAATGGATTTTGAAGCGGTTTTTTTTAATAGATAGAGTGATTCTAGAGGAAGGTTTATATATATAATACATGTATACCCGTGCGAAGCCGGGGCGAGTAGCTAGTATCCTATAAAATTAATATGAATAGAATAGAATAGAAAATCATTTATTCAAATAAACTTACATTGAAGCACTTTTGAATAGTCATTACATTTTTTTTAATCTACCGCTCGTTCGGAAAGCTGTCTCATCACAAGAAGAACGAGCAAGAAACTTGCGTGTTGCTCTTTTAAATAATTTTATTATTACTTTACATTTTTAAGTTTAAGTGTGTGAATACAAACCACCAATTAGCACTAATTCAATTAAATACTCAAAAAGTATTGAATACATAACCAAATTATAACAATGACTTTTGTATTTTTCAGAATTTACGAAAACAATATCAAACAACGGTAAGGAATACAAAATGTATGAAACGATAGACTTACATATAATTTCATATAGCATACATTGTCATGATCCTTACTAATATCACAAATGTGATAGTAGGGACGTGTGTTAGTCTTTCACGCAAAAACTACTGAACCTTGAAATTTTATACACATGTTCTTGGAAGTATTAGAATGAACATAGGATACTTTTTATTTAAAAAAAAATATTTTATATTTAATGGATTCAATGCGAACGAAGCCGCGGGTAAAACCTAGTATAGAATAATTCTAATATTTGATGTAGATATATGTACTAATATTATAAAGAAAGAGAGAAAAAGACCAGTTTATGCACCTATACTTAACTCACTAAGTTTTGAGCACCTGACCTAGCCGAGGCTGGCTAAAGAATAAAAAAATTTGCTTTTTATAGCATAGGACAAATGAGCTTGCGGCTCACCTGATGGTAAATGATTACCGCCGCCCATTAGCACCGGCTACACCAGGGGAATTGCAAGTGCTATGTCGGCCGTTTAGGAAGGAATAAGCTCTTTTCTTGAAGGTTTCGATAACGTATCGGTTCGGAAATAACGTTGCTGGAAGGTGATTCCACAATGTTGTAGTGCGTGGTTAATTTATTTTTGGAAAAACTTACGGTGGGGGACCGCCATTCATCTAGATTAGAGGTTCCCACACTTTATTTATGTCGTAGACCCCTTGCCATATTTTTCCGTTTTGGGTAGACCCCCCATTCTTACTTGGTATTGTTTTTTTGTAAATTTCTAACTGTAGTAAAGTTTAGTGTTAAAAACATAAAGTAAAAACAACAAGATGACGTTGTCGTAGACCCCTTGCAGTTTGTCATAAACCCCTGTCGATATAGACCACTTTGGGAATCACTGATCTAGATGATCAGGATGGAATAAAATTATTGTTATATTTAAATTCATTTATTAGAATTCAACTTGGCAGGGTAAGTCTCTCGGAAGATGGTTTGTTTTTGATGTTTCCATGACCATAGAGTCCGTCGGAAATATAAATTGATACGCAAATATTATTGATGTCGATCAGATTTGAACTCACGACCTCTCAGCCTGAGCAGTGGTAGTCGGTCACTGGGTCACTATGCTTATTTGAATTAAAATTGTTTTTACTTATACTATTTAATTTCAGGTATTATTTTTTTCTTCAGATTCATTTATTCAATTTTTTTTCTTTCAGGTACATTGAAGAAATTTATGGGTAACGGTAAGTTGATTGTGAAACTCAAACACTCAAAACCATTTATCACACAACATTGTTACAATAAGAATCATCAAAAAAGATTACCATGGCCAAAATTTCGTGTGGCATTCAAGACCTCCCGATCTTCAAGTTTTTGAAGTCCGACGAAATATCTCCCTTGCATAGTGCACACTCTATCCTGAGGAGAAAAAACCATCACTCCTAAGAATATCCTTCAATTCTTGTCCCTCACGAATCTAGGTGGCGGACTTTGAATAAGGGCGAGCACAATAGATCTATACAGGTCGCTGTGTTACAGGTCATAGCACCTGACAATAGTCCAAACCCCCAATAAAAAAATAGCAATGAAATCTATACATATAAATAAAATTGGAGTGTCTGTTTGTAATATTGAGGTAACCGTTTTTTGCTACATGCATATGAATATAAATACGGTACATACAACAAAATAACATTTTTTACAATTTTTGTCTCTCTGTCTGTCGGTCTGTTTGTTCCGGCTAATCTCTGAAACGGCTGGACCAATTTTGACAGGACTTTTTTGGCAGGTAGCTGATGTAATAGTTTTATATGTATTTCAGCAACTATACAAGTGGTATATCCCTATGAGATACGAAAGAAGAAGGGAGTCATCCATATGGTTCTAGAAGAAGAAGATTTAGACGTGATTGTGGATATACCAGAGCTTGTAGATTATGATATGAATAATATAGAAGAAAGTAAGTTTACTTCATTACAACAAAACCTTTACTCACTAAACGATTCCTTGAATGACGGCAATAGTTGTTTGTACACGGGATTTTCATTTAATGTTAGACATAGACACCTATATTACATTGTAAATAAACTGGCTTTTAAAAAAAAAGTAATTCAATTGAGTTTCTTGCCAGTTCTTCTCAATTGGATCTATATACTAAACTGGACGGTAGAGAAAAAATTATAATATAATAGAATAATTTGCCATTCATAAGCGGCCAAAATGTCCTTTAATAAATGATTATTGAATTTGAATTTGAATTAATAATTATATCTTAATTTTGGTAAATTATCATCTAAAAACAGACCCAGAATCATCGGTAATCATCATTTTTCTAACAAATTCAACCCATTGATTTTGCAGCGAGATATTGCATCTTCTCTATCGCATATCTACCGGAGAGTATTTGGAGGCATTGTTCGGAATGAACTGCTGAATTTCACCCTAATTAAGATTTTTTTAAACTTAAGATAATAGAAAAGTATTTCTATTTGGCTTAGGTGGTATAACGGTTAAGCACACCGCTTTACTTCCGATGGTCGCGGGTTCGATTCCTCGCACATTTTAAACATTTATATCTGTTTGTATTGGTCAGGGTGTTTTCTATATACATTATGTGTGTATTATCAGTTATCTAGTACCCATAACATAAGCTCTACTTACCGTGGGACTACATGGCACTGTGTTAATTGTCCAAAGTTATTTATTTAAATTTTGGTAATGAACGATATTAATGAAACTCTGCATCTTTTACAGTAGATACATACAATCTATCTGAATGGGCATACAACGTGGTGCAACATATAAATGCAGCCAAGAGCTTCGCTCTACCATACACCAGTCAGTACAGGGCACTAGCAAAACGGATATCTATAGAAAGGTTTGTTGAACTTACTAATAAACTTACCTATAAAAACTACTGACATATATTTATGACCTACTAGCTGTACCCGCGTTTTCACCCGCGTAATTTAATTAATTTATATTTATAATTATGCCTATGTGTTATTTTGATGTATAAACAGCTATATTACTATTACTACCGTACACAGTTTTAAAAAACATCACAAACAATACTTATTAAAAAAACAAATTTTAGGCATTCCACAGAAATTTCTTTCTTTTTTTTATTTTTCTATGTTTTTCTTGTTAATATTTTCTTTTTTTTATTTTAATCCTTACCACTTAGTTAAATTTATAAATTACAAATTATACTCTGAACTATTTACATTATTTTTATTATCCACACACCGCACAGACAGTCACCAATAAAATTACTCTTTTTATTTTATATTTATTTTAATTATTACTTTCACGTACCCTCAAATGGGCTAAAGCTGAAAATCAGTGTTTTGTTCCCTGAACAATGTTCCACGTTCAGCTTCCACCTTTTTGTATCGCTACAGATCACACATAATAACACAATTTTATAAATCTTATGTTGTATTTTGTATTGTCTATTCTTATGAACATGTTGTGTGTGATTAGTAACAAACAAATAATATATATCTATCTACTGTAAAGTTTCATCAAAATCCGTTCTACAGTTTTTGCGTGAAAGAGTAACAAACATCTATCCATACTCAAAAACTTAATAAGATGGTTACAAACCTTCTAGTCTTGCTCTATTCTTGTTTGTTTGTTTGTTTGTTTGTTTGTTTGTTTGTTTGTTTGTTTGTTTGTTTGTTTGTTTGTTACAAAGTTTCTGCTCTTCTACTTTTACAGTATGTATTAAAAAGTTAAATAATTTTGAAAGTTTACACTTACTGTAAAAATAGTATATTTAAATTTGATAAGTAAATAAATTATATTAATACTAATATAATAATATTTTTATATAAATATATATATAATATAACATATATATGTATAAATATTAATAATATTTTTTTACAGATTGCTCCTTCTATATCCGGAAGAAGAATATACAGATATAAAGTTTAATTTCTCAGAGTCAGCATATTACTAATAAATTATATAATTATTTATGGTCAGCTCCACCATCGTGAGTGGTCATTGGTCAAAATCAAATAGTGTACGCTTCGAACCACAGATTGTATAAAATATGTTACACATAAATAAACCAAATAAACCAAAAGTAATTTTATTGATTTTTTTTGCACAGAATATAAATAATCTTTATTACCATTCATTTATCATTGTTTATTGTCATGTAATGACATAGTATAAAATAAAGTCGCTGTCGCTGGCTGTCTCTATGTATGCTTAAATGTTTACAATTACGTAACGGATTTTGAAGCGGTTTTTTATATTATATAGAGTGATTTAAGAGAAAGGTTTATATATATATAATACAAGTACACCCTTACGAAGCCGGGGCGAGTAGCAAGTGTCAAAACAATTTAGTATAACCACTTGTAAAAAAATAATATATTTTTATTTTGTGCATATCAAATATAATAGAAATTACGGTACAGGGCCAGACTCCTTCTTCCATCTTCTTCCATCCTCTAAGTTGGTTCTACATTCAAATTACCCTGGTATCTTCTACCACTTTCATTAAAAGACGAAAAGTATTACATTAATCAAAATACTAGCTTTTATCCGCGGATTCGCTGGCATTGAATTCATTTTTTTTATTTTGTTATACACGTGCGGGTGACGTCAGTTTATGACGTCACCGTTATCAGCAACGTACATTGCGTTAACGAGAACATATAATAATATATTCTGTGGTTAGACCCACATGACAGAATGACACAAAATGTGATAAGCTTTGCCAGGCTTGCGTAACTGGGAACAAAATAACTTTTTTTTATATCTAATATATAAAAAAAATTATTTTGTAGCTGTTCCCGCGATTCGTCCGCGTGGAATATAACCTTATTTTTCTAAAATAAAAGTAGCCTAAGTTACTCCTTATTGCATCAGGTACCTGCAAAAAAAGACCCGTCAAAATCGGTCTAGCCATTTCTGAGATTATCCAGAACAAACACTGTCTGTTTGTTCTGGATAATCTTAATCTAATCAAATCTAAATCTTACAGACAGACAAAAATTGTAAAAAATGTTGTTTTAGTGTATTTACCGTATTTATATTCATATGAATGAATATAAATAAGAAATGAAAATAAATAAAACGGTTATTTCAATATAACAAACAGATACTCCAATTTTATTTATATGTATAGATGTATAGATAATATATCTATATATGTATTTTGGCACTAGACAAGTGATAGCACTTGTCTAGTGCCCATAACACAAGGTCTGCTTAGCTTGGGACTAGATGGCGCTGTGTGAATTGTCCAAAGTCATTATTAATCATTTGTAGCGTGGCATCTGCCGTTGCCAGAGGTCCCGTACTTCCCGAGACGTCTCGTATTTTAGGCTTTGTTTAAAATGTCCCGGCGGGACTGACAACCAGATAAATACAAACAATAAAATTCATGAATACAAATGTTAGTACCTATCAACAAGAGCTAGTAGAAATAATAATAACATACTTGAACAATTCATATAGCGCCATCTAGTCCAGAGTTAGGAAGACTTTGTTTGTCCAGTACTCTTATACTGGACTCAGGTACAAAGATGTGCTGAAGCGACACATGAAGCAGTGCGACATCAATCCTTCTATGTGGGAGCAGCAGGCTGCCGAACGGCCGGAGTGGAGAGCGCTTGTTAATTCTAGCATCAAAGCTTTTGAAAACCGGCGGCTCCTTGAGCTGGATGCCAGACGTGACAAGCTGAAAGCCCGACCATCTGCGGCTATAAGCTATATGAGCTTATAGCCGCAGACGGCTATAAGATATATTATATGAGCGGTGTGCTCTCATGCCCGCAATGTGCGAGGATTTTTACACACAAAATAGGCTACATAAGTCACATGCGAGCACATCAACGACAAAATCGGAACTGAAGATAGTCGCCGTGGCCGAAATCGGCCTGGATTACATCATCACTGGACAACTGATATAAATATATAGAAACATACATACATAATATATATAGACAACATCCAAACAAAAAAAGGGTGTGAATGGATTGTTAGTAACGCGGACTAATAAGTCTATAGCCACCATGTCAGTTTGAACTCTACGTGCTTCCTCTGGAAACCATCGTGATAAATTCATGGTGAATTTACCATGATGGGCTAACAGACCTGACCTCGTGTTCATCCTATCAGTCTACACTGGTAGCAGCGTAAACCGTTAGAATAGATAGGTGCATCCATTATTATCAATTAAAAAAACAGCAAAACTAATATAAACAATTTCATGAATATAAGTAAAATAAATTCATGAATACAAATATTAGTTCCAACCAACAACAGCTAGTTAAATAAATTAAAATGCAACTAACAAATGCTTCTTGTGAAAGTGACATAAATGTACTTTTAAAGCGACAGCCTCGGTGGTCTAGCGGTTTAGCACACCGCTTTACGTAACGGTGGTCGCGAGTTCAATACCTCACGCGGTACAAATATTTATTATTACAGCTGATGGCTTGTAAATGCGATCACCTTTTATATGTGAACTTTGTTATTTTGCGGAGCTTTTCTAGCAATGGTTATGGTAAAAAAATAAATAACCCTGGACAATTCATACAGCGCCATCTAGTCTCACTAGGCCTCTATGGTGTAACGGTTTAACACACCGCTTTACTTCCGATGGTCGCGAGTTCAATACCTCGCACGGTACAAATATTTGCATTAATGAGTATGATTGTTTGTATCGGTCTGGGTGTTCTCTATGTATATTATGTATGTATATTGAAATATTAAGTATTTATAATAGTACCTATAACACAAGCTTTGCTTGACTATGTGTTCTGTATTCCGAACCTCCTTAGTCTAAGCAGGTTGTATAACCGGCTTGCTTACTGAAGCAAAAGGCAATTGGTAATATCATCATCTGCTTCTTCCTTATCCCATTTATTTGTGGTCGGCGTAATATGTTTTTCTCTTCCATTCATCTCTGTTCGCAGTCATCCCGTTATTTACTCCCTTTCTCACCATATCATCTTTCACACAGTCCATCCATCACTTTTTCAGTCTTCCTCTACCCGTATAACCATCCACATTCATATGTAATACCATCCTTAGGATATGATCTCCATTCCTACGCATTACATGCCCATACAACGACAGGCGATTACTGTTCAACCTCTCCGACACCGGCGCCACTTTCATACTTCCTCTGATGTATTCATTCTTTATCTTATCCATTCTTGTCACACCACACATCCATCTCAACATTCGCATTTCAGTTGCATGCAGTCGTCTCTCATCCGCGCTTGGTAATACTGGCCACAAATAAATATATGTGGCCACTTCAATTTCGAATACAGAATAAGAAAACAATTTATAATAAGAACTGGAATAAAAAGGACGCTCCGTATTTATAACTATATAAAACAAGATTATTAATGATTTAATTGTTTTGATGAAAATACGCACTCTAGTTGCGTGGCCACTGAACAGTACTACACATCGAGACGTTCCTGAGCTAACGTGAGTAAGTTTAGTGTTACATTGCTTACTTTGGGGTGTTCGAAGTGTGGAAGACGTTCTTCCAGGTCGATATCGTATTTCTGCTTCCTTTTCCATTAATTATTTTCTTTTCAATAAATACGATCACTCTCTATCTAAATATATATAACTCAAAGATGACTGACATAGTGATCTTTCAACGCACAGCCCAAACCGCTGGACGGATCGGGCTAAACTTTGGCATGCAGGTAGATGTTACGACATAGGCTAAGAAAGGATTTTGATTAATTCTACCCCCCAAGTGGATAAAATAGTGGATGAAAGTTTGTATGAAACTTTGTCAATTTTAAACCGATCGAGACTTTGCATGCATAAAGCTACTATGACGTAGGCATCCCCTAAGAAAGAATTTTGATAAATTCCAACCCTAAGGGGATAAATTAACGCGAGCGAAGCCGCGGGCAATAGCTAGTTTCATATATTACTTTGTAAGGATTCGTAATCCAACACTATGGATTAAAAAACCATAAGGCGTGGACGTATTACGCCAAAAATTTCATCGCCAATAAATCCCACTCTAATTACCTATTTACAGGGCCCACCGTTATGAAGGAAATAGAAATAGAAATAATCTTTATTCAAATAAACTCATTACAAGCACTTTTGAATAGTCATATTTTGATTCTACCACTCATTCGGAATGCAGATTCATCACAAGAAGAATGAGCAAGAAACTTGTGTGTTGCTCTTTTTAATAGATGTTTTTTTTTTTATATAATAATTACAGTATAACAAGTAAGAGGCATGCGATAATCACTCATTATTAATGTAATCAGATAATATTGTCAGTGCTATGGATTTAAAGTTTTTCTATAAAAACATTATTATCGTTAACGAATTCTTCAATTTTATAGTAAAAAAGGGGGTTGTTAGTTTCGAAAAATAATTAAAAACCCCGCGTCTGGCGAACGCTGGCTGTAATTTAGCTTTGAAACAAGCAAAAAACGCTTGATTAACAACCAAATTAAAGAGCGAATGATTTTTCGTCAACAAAATAATAGAACTAGTTACGAAAGGTTACGTTTTAGTTACTTTACATTCAGTTAATGTGTTAAATTTTAAAATAATCGGGACTATTCATATTTTTTATTTAATTTTTAATTGTTTTTTTTTAATAGTTAGAGTGATTCAAGAGCAAGGTTTATATATATAATATATGTACACCCATGCGACGCCGGGGCGAGTAGCTAGTTATATATAAGAATAATTTGCAATAAAATATTATTGCGACTATAAATTGAGATGTAACTATCCTATCTTTCAAGTTGGATCAAATTGCACACAATGTGGAAATGAAAATTGCAATCCGTTCAGTGGTTTAGGAGTCCATCGCGGACAAACTAACACGTAATCTTTATATATAAACTAGCTGGCTTCGCACGGTATACATGTATTATACTTATAAACCTTCCTCTTGAATCACTCTATCTATTAAAAACCGCTTCAAAATCCGTTGCGAAGTTTTAAAGATTTTAGCATACATAGGGACGGAC